CCCCCCCCCAGCCCCACCCGGAGTCCCGGGCGCCGGCTTTCCGCCCTCTCCTGGCGAGCTCCAAGTAGCAGCGCAGCGCGGGTCGGGGCAGGACCCGGAAAGGGCCCGGGCGGCTCCCGCACCTGGTAGTAGGCCCTCTGCAGGTAGTTGTAGGGCTCCCGGCGGCGGAAGGCGTCCCGGAGCGCGCTCCCCACGCGGAGCCGCGCCGCGCCCCCGGGGCCCAGCCTCTGCACCCCGCACTGGGTCAGGCACTCGGCCCGTCGGAGCGCGGCGCGAAGCAGCAGCCGCTCCCAGGCCCCCTGCGCCGGGCCGGGCCCGGAGTCCGGGGCGTCGAGCAGCACGGCGGGGAGTGCGGCCCCCGGTTCGGCCGCACAGCGCGCCCCGCAGTCCCGCCGCGCGCGGCCCAGGGCCGCCTGGCTCCGCAGCGCCTCCCGCAGCAGCGCCACGGCCGGCGCCCAAGCCCCGGCCGCGTAGGCGCGCAGCCCGTCCGCGTAGAGCAAGTCCGGGGCCTGGGGGGGCGCACCCGGGGACAGCCGGGCCAGGCCTGGGGGTTCGGGGGACCCCGGCGGAGGCAGCAGCAGCAGTAGCAGCAGCAACCGGAGGAGCCGGAGCATGGTGCCGGAGGCGCCGGCCGGCTGCCGAAGCGGAATGCGGGAGCCCAGAGGGAGAGAGAGGATAGGGGGATGGGAGAGGGAGGGGAAAGGAAGGAGAGAGGGAGAGGAGGGAGGAGAGGAAGAGAGAAGGAATGAGCGGGGCCAAGGAGTGCTGATGGAGCCCAGATTCAACCCATATTGGCCACTATGAGAGCCAGAGAAGTCAGAAAGCCTGGCAGCGAGTGGAGAAAGCAGTCTTTAAGACGAAGGGTAGTGTGGGAGGCCGAGAAACAGGCGGGCCGTGAAGAGCAGATGGCAAAGGGCTGGAACTGGAGCAGGACTGGTGTTTGGAAAACAGCATGGGGAGCCTCTTAGGACCCTCGACTCCAACCCTGAGGCCCATGGGGTGAATGTAGCTACCGCAGCTGTGTTCCCCTCCACTCTGTGCCCCGCCCACCCCCGCCCACACACTGTTGAGTCCAGGACGAGGAGTGTGGAAGCCTCCCATACACCTACCCACACACACTTTTGGAAAAAGACCTTTAAAATGCAACATGGGATGCAGGCCTGTGATACCAAGTCAGGCCCAAATCCTTTCCTGCCCAGAAAGTGAGGCCTTAGGTGGATCTGGGGGAAGGAGGAGAGCTGGAGCATGGCAGATGGAATCACACCCTGAAACCACCTTCCACCAATCTGAACAAAGATCCTTCACGCCCCAAACCAGCACACTCAAGTGTCCCCCCATGCCCAGCACAAGATGCTCTTATATGCCCGTCCCTGTGGATGTCTTCATGTTTGAGTTTGTCCTTCTCCGGGTGTATTTCTGTGCCTCTGTCCACAGCCCCTGCTCTATTTTGTCCTCGCTGAGCCATTCCACCGCCCAGCCTCCAATCATATCCTTTACCACTCTAGTACAATGGACACCAAGGTTTCCATGGCAACACTTCAGGCTTTAATACAATTTGCTAAGGATGATGGAAGGTGAGTAGGACATCTCTGGTCATCGAGATAGGAGACAGCGGGGGCTCCGGGCCCCAGATCCAGCGCCCATCTCCCCGGAGTCTGGAGGCAGCTGCCCGAGGCTCAGGGCCAGAACAGGTGATACTCAGGGCCCCTCATCTGAGTCCTGCAGGCCCACTTGGGCTCACAGCGTCAGCTGGGGGAAAATGGGATTACCTGGGCCCCAGGATCCTCCCCAAGGTCTTGCACTCCCCTCACCTCCTGTCAGGGAGCAGCGTCTCCCTGCACTTAAGCCCAAAGGAAGTCCAGCGGCTCTGCTGTCAGGGGACCCAAGGGAAAGCCTGCGGGGTGAGAGGCCCAGGGGCCTGGGCCGGCGAGGAGAGGGCCCCGGCGAAGCAGTTGGAGAAGGCAGAGGTGTCTCATCAATGAAGGTGGTGATCTCTTCCCGGAAGAAGCCAGGACCCCGTGGGGGTCCCCCACCTGACCCCAACATCCCACCCTCCAGGAACTGGCGAAGGCTGGCCAGCCCCCCACCTTCAGCTTCCTCCTCATCCTCCTCATCCTCCAGCCTTTGTCTTCGTCCCAGGTACTCAGGAGGGCCCCCCAGGGCTCGGCTCTGGGCTGGGAGGACCCGGATGTCATCAGAGGATGACCACTTATGTAGGATGGAGCCTGGTGCCCGAGGTGTAGAGAAGATGTTGGTCTCATCATGGGACAGACGGCGGGACAGGGGTACCTGGGGAGAGGAGCAAGTAGACCCAGAGGGGCTATAGGGACAAAGGGGGTAAAGGCAGGAACCTAAGTGGGGACGCTGCAAGATGGCTTCACCCCCTTAAACTTTTGCAAAACATCCTCTGGGGGCTGCTGGGTGGCTCAGTCGGTTAAGCGTTAGACTCTTGATTTCAGCTCAGGTCTTGATCTCCGGGTTTGTGAGTTGGAGCCACGCATCCGGCTCTGCGCTGACAGTGTGCAGTCTACTTGGGATTTTGGGATTCTCTCTCTGCCTGTCTCTCTGCCCCTCCCCTGCTCTCTCTCAAAAATAAACTTAAAAAAAAAAAAATCCTCTGACGGGCAAACCTGGTTCTGAGAGGTCTGAAGGGAAGCCTCTCTTGCCACACTTTTCTTTCACCTACCCCTTAGGTGCCCTGCAGGCCAGGGCTAGGGAATGGGGAGTCAGGATGGCTCTCAGAGACTGGACACAAGAAGAATGGGGATACCCAGAATAGGAGGTTCATTCCCTAGTCCCATACCTGTAAGTAGTGGACCCTCTCAAGAGGGGGAAAGAGCATGTGCCTTCCAGGCAACAGCTTCACCTGGGTGGGGTCCCTGCCCCCTGGTCCTGTGGCACCATTAGCATCAAAACGAACTTTGCACACTCGGCCATCTGCATAGTCATCACAGCCGCCATCTAGGAGAGAAAAGGGGCAGAGTGGTTACAGGCAGGGAATACCCACTCCCCTCCTCTCCCCCCCTTAAAACTTCCTGCCCCCTTTTTAAGCTCCCCAGAGAATCCTTCTGTTCACACTAGTCTGTAAGCTCCAAGAGGAAAAGCAGGAGCGTCTAACATCTGTTGCATTCAGTGCTTAGTCCCTAGTGCTTCGTACATACAGACGTATTTATTGAAACAGTTACAAGCCCACCCCCAACAACTGTCCCTGTAGCTGGGGGTGTGTCTCAGGGAGGCTAACCTCCCCTTAATTCCACAGCCTTCCTTTATGGTTGTGTTAGGACTCTGGCCTGTTTCTCAGGCACTCTTCCTGGAGAGTGGAGGCAAAGCTGGGTAGTGTGGGCTTCCAGGGGGGAACCGACGCCCAGTGGAGGGAGCTCCCAGTACAGAAGGAAGCAATGGGCGGGCGTACATCGGGTTGCGTGATTAGGGAAAAGGGAGCCTGGAGTCAGCCCAAGGGTGGCGCGGGTTCCGTCCAGCAGGGGGCACTCAAGGGTAGCCCATCCCCACACGGAGAAGGGCTGGTAGAAATGGGCAGAAGAGGGAGTCCAAGCCCCCGGGAAAGCCAAAGCCCGGTCCCTCCTCTGACCGTCGTCGCCATCCTCCTCCGACATGATGGCCACGCACTGCTCCCACACAGTGCGCACGTCGGCACGGTAGCGCTCGCAGGACCAGATGAAGGAGGGCAGCAGCAGCGTCTGCGCCATGGAGCACCACAGCACAGCCAGCACCATCCACGGCGGAGCCGAGTCCGACTTAAGGGAGAAGAAGCTCACCACCTAGCGGGAGGATGGGGAATGGCGCGGGGTCACGACCCAGAGCTCAGAGGTCCCACTTGACCCCAGATCCAATATCCTAGTGCAGTGGGTGGACAAGAAGGAGAGGATGGCCCGGTTCACAGAGGATCGTGACAGAGGCAAAGTTGGAGGTGGAATGGGATGAACAGAGGGGAAGGGACTGATTCAGAGGAAGATCGGGGCAAGTAGTGAAGATAAAGCCCCCGAGGGGTTGGGGGAGAAGCAGAGGTGGTAGAGAAAACTTGAACACAGAGAGAAATTCAGGAAGAGGGACTAGATGGGGATGCAAAAAGCTGGGGTGGTGGGGTGAACTCTCTGGGGTTTCCACCCAGAGTGCTGAGAGGCCCTGTGGTAACCGGAGAGTGGCAGGGAATGGAGAATGGAGGTCCAGGGGCTGAAGCAGGGAGACACAGGGTACATGGTGGAGCTGGAAGATAGGTGGAGGCAGTAAAGGATGGATGACAGGGTTGAGCAGCAGCAACCGGGAAACAGATGATGAGGCTGGGGGTGACGGGAACCAGGAGACGGATGACAGAGGTGGGGGGCTCACAAATGTAGCAGGGGTGGGCAGAAAAGAGGAAGGTGGACGGCGGAGCTGCTGTATGGCTGATGACTTCGAGGTCAGGTGGTTGTGCTGGGGCCTGGATATTAGGGATAGCAGGTGGGGGACCCCAATCTCACCAAGATGGGCACCCCTGTGAGTGAGTCATAGAGAAAGACGATGGCGCTGACCAAGTTGGTGACCTGCAGGGATGTCTTGGCCGACTCAGAGCCGTCCAGCGAGGACCGCCGCTTGCCTCTGGCATCCTCCACCACAATGGCTGGCACCTCAAAAGCTGGCCGGGTACCCAACCCCCCTGGCCCACCCCCCTTGGCCCCACCCCCAACCCCCGCTCTCCGGGCCAGCCGAGCCCTCCGGGGCCGGGCCCACAACGTCTGGTAGAAGGTGATGGCCACACAGACCAGCCCCATGACAATGCCCCCAAGGAGCAAGAGGCTGAAGCAGACGCCAAAGCCCAGGCCAATCTTGGAGACTATGAACTGGCAGCCACGGGCGTAGTACCGCTCGCCATTGTTGTGCCAGCCGATGGAGGGCAGCGTGGAGAGGATGAAGCTGACCATCCAGATGCCCATGACAGCATGCAGCGCCTGCTTCTTGGCGTTGCTGAGGCGGTAGTTGACGGGCCAGCGCACCATCCACATGCGATGGTAGGAGAGCGAGGCGACTGTGAAGCAGGTGGCCAGGGCCAGTGTGTAGTAGGTGGACACAAAGACCTTGCAGATGCTCTCGTTCCAGTCATAGTCAGAAGAAGCCTGCCGCCGTAGCTGCACCACGGCGAAGGTGGTGAGGGGCACAGCCGCCATGAGTATGTGTGTGCCCGCCAGGAAGCAGAGCAGTAACTCCAGCGGCTTGTGCTTTTGCTGCTTGGCCGAGATGCTGAGGATGATCCAGGCATTGGCCAGCAGTGCCAGGAGCCCACAGGCCAGCCAGGACAATGCGTTTGAGCGCAGGGAGGCCTCCTCTGCCCCTGCCCCGCCCCGAGCCATCCTATCCTCGGTCCCCCCACCCCCCCTTGAACTCCTGGGGGTGGGGGCTAGGTCTCACCCTGGAGCCCCACTCACACACACACCCATTATGCGTACAATCCTTGCCCTGTAGTGAAGCAGGCCACGGCTAGGCCTACCTTCCTGCTCAGCATTGCATGACCGACCCAGCTAAAGTCAGGTGTGGAGGGCAGGGGAGGAGACTGAGGGTCAGCAGAGGTGATCCTCAGCCTCCATACCGGGTGGGGCCCTTCCTGAAGTATCCCTGTAATTGAGGGGAAGGGGGAGGGGGAGGAGGAGCGGGAGGAGCAAGCTGACTGCTTTCCCAACTATGAGGCTGGCTGAGGAGCTCTGGTCCCCATGCCGGGACTTCCAGTTCTCTTCTTCCTCTGGTTCTTGACCAGCCTGGGATCTTCTGGGCACCCCAAGGGGTGTGGGGGTAAGGCTCAGCCACCTGGACAAACTGCAAGGGAGAAATGACATGTGGTGGGGGGGAGGGCAAAGGTAGGGCTGGGGCTGGTCTCCAGCTGACTTCCTGTGCCCCCTTCTCTGGAAAGTATACGCAAACAACCTATTACTAGGGGTCATAGGGTCATTCAGAACATTCTCCTGCCTTAAACCAGATGGCCAATCACATAGCCCACACAGGTAAGAGCCCTGCTTTCCAGACCTTCAGGGAAAGAAGATATTCTGACCTCCTGTCTCCTACCCTTTTTCAGCCCTTTTTCCTCCCTCTGTCATTCCCTGGTCCCTTCTTCTTATATCCTCTGCTCAGTACTATTCAATCCCTATTTTCATGTCCCTGAATCTCTCTTCAGGGCTACTGATGGCAGATACATGACTTGTTTCTTCTTGAGGGTTCATGGTAAACTGGGATATGTGTGCTAACACAGCTCCTTCCCGATGCTCCAGCTCCTGGGCCCAGGGCTCTTGGTGCTCAGCCCCATTTCCCCCAAGCCTGCCCTGCATGATCCCCCTCTAGCTCACTAGGGACCTGGGAAGATGGGAGAAAGGAAGCCAGGGAATGAGGGGGGGGGGG